CAGTTCAATCCACCACACCACAACTCCAGCCCCTGGTTTTGTTTTAAGTGCTTTTTTCCTTTTTTTGGTGTGTGCTTATTTTCATGGCTTACTGTCATCCAGTGTGTTCACTTTGCCCAGGACACTTGTGTTCCTGCGGACGCTCTCTCTGGAGAGAAGGTGCTCGACTGAGACGGCAAAGCAGGAGGACACACGTCTGTCCTGAGCTTGCTCGTGTGACTGGAGGTCGGAAGTACCCTGCCTTCAGGTGGAGGTGGCTGAAGGTCGGCCGGCACCTCCTTCCCAACTCTGCGTTCCTCATTTGGGTTCATTCTCAGACATGGTCTCCCCTCACATTGGCACGCCAGGCCCCTTAGCTCTGGGCTCCTGTGTTGCTACCTTCAAACTAGGAGGAAAAGTTAGTGTTTTTCAGCTTTCATAAAAGCCCACCACTGAGTCTCCTTGGTCCTGCATGCCCATCAGCTGGGGCAGGGGCCAGTGCTCCGAGCAGCCTGGCCTGGGCTGTATGCCCTTCCCCCAAGCCTTGGGTCTCATGAACCACGTGTGGGGAGGGGTTCTCCAGGGACACTGTGGGGATCTTAAAGTGAGGACAGTAGCCACCTGGTTGGCAAAAAGCAGAAGGCTGGTTCTATTCAAGGCCATGGTTTCTTGGATGAAGCCTCAGTTGTCTCATCCTCAAAGCACAGGTGCAACCGAGGGCCTCTGTGTGGTGAGATGACAGGGACTGTATCCACCCCACCTGCCAGAAACACCCCCTTGGACAGCTATTTTGAAAAGTGCAGGGGCCGGCGCCATGGTGTAGCGGGTTAGGCCACTGCCTGCAGTGCCAGTATCCCATATGGGCACTGGTTCAAGTTCTGGCTGTTCCACCTCCAATCCAGCGCTCTGCTATGGCCTGGGAAAGCATGGAGGATGGCCCAAGTGCTTGGGCCTCTGAACCCACATGGGAGACCCAGGGGAAGCTCCTGGCTCCTGGAGGATTGGCGCAGCTCTGGCCATTGTGGCCATCTGGGGAGTGAACCAGCAGATGGAAGACCTGTCTCTTTCTCCTTGCCTCTTTTCTCTCTCTAACTCTGACTTTCTAATAAGTAAATGATTTTTTTTTTTTTTAAAGAAAGATGCAGCTGCTGTGGGAAACAGCATGGCAGTTCCTCACAAAGTTTTGCCTGGAGGGCTGGTACTATGGTACAGCAGATTAAACCACCGCTTCTGTCCCCTATCAGAATACCCATTCACATCCCGGCTGCTCCTGCTTCTGATCCAGCTCCTTGCTAATGCTAATATGCCTGGGAAGGCAGCAGAAAATGGCCCAAGTGCTTGGGCTCCTGCCCTCCATGTGGGAGACCAAAGTGGAGTTCCCGGCTATTCATGTGGGCCTGTCCCAGCCCTGGCTATTGCGGTCATTTGGGGAGTGAACTAGCGGATGGAAGAGCTGTCTTTCTGTGTCTCTGCCTCTCTCTCTCTCTCTCTCTCTCTCTGCTACTCTGCCTTTTGAAGAAATGAAAATAAAAGAAATTTTAAATATTTTATGTATTTATTTGAGAGGTAGAATTACAGAGAGAAAGACAGAGAGGTCTTCCATCTGCTGGTTCACTCCCCAGATGGCCACAATGGCTGGAGCTGGGCTGATCTAAAGTCAGGAGCCATGAGCCGGAGCTTCTTCCAGGTCTCCCACATGGTTTCAGGGGCCCAAGCACTTGGGCTATCTTCTACTACTTTCTCAGGCCATAAGCAGAGAGCTGGGTTGAAAGAGGAGCAGTCGGGACATGAACCAGTGCCCATATGGGATGCTGACACTGTAGGTAGAAGCTTAGCCTACTACGCCACAGTGCTGGCCCCAAAAATGAAACTTTAAAAGATAACCCAGACCCCCAAGTGTGGCACAACAGATTAAGCCATTACCTGCAGCACTAGCATCCCATAGGAGTGCTGGTTCAAATCCCAGCTGCTCCACTTCTGATCCAGCTCCCTATTAATGTGCTTGGGAAAGCAGCAGAAGATGGCCCAAGTGTGTAGACCCCTGTACCCACGTAGGGGATGCAGATGAAGTTCCTGTTTTCAGCCTGGTTGTTGTGGTCATTTGGTGAGTGAACCAGTGGATGGAAGACATCCTTCTCTCTGTAACTTAGCCTTTCAAAAAAATAAATAATATATTTTATTTAATTAATTAATTTATTTTTTAAGATTTATTTTATTTATTTGAAAGACAGAATTACAGAGAGCTAGAGACAGTGAGAAAGAGAGAGAGAGAAGTCTTCCATCCACTGCCTCACTCCCCAAATGGCTGCAACAGCCGGAGCCAAGCCAATCCAAAGCCAGGAGCCAGGAGCCTCCTCCAGGTCTACCACATGGGTGCAAGTGCCAAGGGCTTGGGCCATCCTCTGCTACCTTCCCAGGCACACCAACAGGGAGCTGGATCAGAAGAGGAGTAACCGGGACTGGAACCAGCATCCATGTGGGATGCCGGCACTGCTGGCCTGGGCCTCAATGCGCCGTGCCACAGTACCAGCCCCAAATAATATATTTTAAAAAATAAAAGTAAAAAAGGAAAGAAACTCTAGTGCTGCTTTTTTAAAATCTTTTTTTTATTTTTTAAGATTTAAAAGCAAGATTTATTCAAATCAAAGACCTCCAACCAGAGAGGCATGGAGGGGGGCTTCCAAGGGAGGAAAAACCCAAAGGGGCTGGTAGTAGTCAGGTTTTTAGGTACAGTTTTGGGGAAGAAACAACTGTCAATCGATAAGGTGGGTACAGACCTAACGAAAGACCTGCTTTATAATCCTTTATCCTGTCTGGCTTGTTCATGATAAAAGAGCAAGGTATCCCAAGGGCAGGATACCTAATTTGTTTTGCAGTGAACTGGGAGCTCAGAAGGGTGACCCAGTGCTTTAAAATAAAAGATTACACCTGGAATTACCATGTGGCCCAGCAGTTCTACTTCTGAGTATATGCCTAAAAGGATGGAAAGCAGCATTTCAAAAAAATATTTATACACCCATGCTTATAACAGCCTGATTTGCAAAAGGTGGCAGCAACCCAGGGTGTGCTTGAGCCATACAATGGATTATTATTCAGCTTTCAAAAGGAAGGCAATGCTGACACCTGCTCCAACACAGATGCAGCCTGAACATGTTAAGTAATAAGCCAATCACAAAAGGACACACATGGTATGGTTCCCTTATTTGGCATATTAAGAGTCAGAGAGACAGAAAGGAGAGGGGGGTGCTTGGGGTGTGGGAGCGAGAGATAGTTACTGTTTGAGGGGTTTGTGGTTTTAGTTTGGGGAGATGAGAGCTCTGGAGACAGATGGTGGAGATGGTTGTACAACATCATGGCCGTGCTTAATGCTACCACAGTGTTCTGAGCAGCCTGGCCTGGGCTTTATGCCCTTCTCCAGAGCCTTTAAAGTGTGACTGTTATCACAGTAAAAAATGAGAGAGAGAGAGAGTATCCCAGAACTGAATCCATGACCTTTCCTACTTCTTGTGAAACTGGCACAAAGGTGGGACCAAGCACAAGTGGGTTTGGGTGAGGAGAGCCCTGGCCGGGAGGATGTGTTATACTGAGGTCCACCCCACCTTGTCCCCATCATGGCTGGCACATCCTGAGCCTGCAGCCAAGGCAGTGAGAGACCAGGAGTGTGGTCCCCATATTGGTGGTCCCCTGAGAAGCAGCTGTAGTCAGTGGCAGAGCAAGAGATAAATGTAGGAGCGGGAATGACCCCATAGAACAGGGTAAAATTATGGGAAGTTTCATGGTCATCCCATACTTCCCCAGTCTGATGCTTCGAGCAGAAAATATTACTGGTGGAACATGAGAAAAGTGCCTGGGAAAAGTTAAGTATTGACGGTCTGGAGTGTTGGTGAGGTGGGGACAGTTGTTCTGTGCTAGGGGGAGGGTGGCTATAAGCTGGTAGAGCCACTCTGCAGGGCTCTCTTAAAACCAGAAATAAGCTGTACTCTCTGACCCAGTAATTCCACTTCTCTTCTCCAGAGAGAATCCTCCCCCAGAGAGACATTTGCTTGTGTGCCCAGAGATGCAATGCAAGGACATGGTTCAGTGTTGCATCGTTGGTTATTCACAGCAACTGCAAACAAGCTAAAGATCCAGCCGTGTGGGAATGATTCAGTGAATTGTACATCTGTAGCATGAACTGCTTCACAGCACTAAGAGTGAAGTGTGTGCTTTAGGGCATAAACTCTGCTGCTGTAGCAAAGAGATCCTGACATAGACTGGCTCTGGTGAGATAGTTTTTTCTCACATCCCAGTCCAAAGGGAGGTGTGGCCCAAGGTTATCCATTGCTGCATAAAACAGCAGTAAGTGCTCCATGCTCATGGATGCTGTGGATCAGGAGTTTAGACAGGGCAGTGTCAAGGCTTGACTGTGCTTTCTGATGTCTAGGGCCTTAGCTGAGAAGATGTGAGTGGTTGGGATAACTCCTGTGGCTAGAGCTGGAATTGTTTGGAGGTTTGTGTATCTGGTTCCTGCACTGGAATGACAAGAACGTGTGTCTTATTGGGAGTGTTCATTGGAGAGCCTACACATGACTCCCCTCTGTGCTTAGGGCTGTGCAGCATGAAAGCCTCAGGGTAGTTGGACTTTGAACTCCAAGAGTGAGTATCCAGCAAATAAGGTAGAAGGTGCATGGCCTCCCATGACTTCTTAGAAGTTGTGTTGATGTCACTTTTTCTTTATTCTATTGGTTGCAAGCCTGCTAGAATATTTTTTTAAAGATTTATTTCTTTATTTGAAAGTCAGGGTTACACACACATATACATAGAGAGAGGTCTTCCATCCACCGGATCACTCCTCACTTGGCCGCAATGGTTGGAGCTGAGCCGATCTGAAGCCAGGAGCCACGAGCTTCTTCTGGGTCTCCCATGCACATATGGAGTGTGGTCCCCATCTTGGTGGTCCCCTGAGAAGCAGCTGTAGTCAGTGGCAGAGCAAGAGATAAATGTAGGAGCAGGAATGACCCCATAGAACAGGGTAAAATTATGGGAAGTTTCATGGTCATCCCATACTTCCCCAGTCTGATGCTTTGAGCAGAAAATATTACTGGCTCTGGGTGGCCAACGATGAGAACTGCGGCATCTGCCGGATGGCATTCAATGGCTGCTGCCCCGACTGCAAGGTCCCGGGAGACGACTGCCCGCTGGTCTGGGGCCAGTGCTCCCACTGCTTCCACATGCACTGCATCCTCAAGTGGCTCAACGTGCAGCAGGTGCAGCAGCACTGCCCCATGTGCCGGCAGGAGTGGAAGTTCAAGGAGTGAGCGCCCGGCCACCCCCCGCGCCGGGCCAAGATGACTTGGGCCATCTTCCATTGCTTTCCCAGGCCATAGCAGAGAGCTGGATGGGAAGTGGACCCTATTACTGGGGCCATCATCCCCTGCCTTTCCAGGTGCATTACCAGGCAGCTGCACTAAAGTGGAGAGGCCAGGATTTGAACTGGCGCTCCAATATGGGAAGCCGGTGTTCAAAGTGGTAGTTTAGCCTCCTGTGTCACATTGCTAGCCCCAAATAGTTTCTTTATAATGTACATTTTCCATTAACTTTTTTTTTATTTTTTATTTTTTTATTTTTTGACAGAGTGGACAGTGAGAGAGAGAGACAGAGAGAAAGGTCTTCCTTTGCCGTTGGTTCACCCTCCAATGGCCTCCATGGCCGGCGTGCTGCGGCTGGCGTACCGCACTGATCCGATGGCAGGAGCCAGGTACTCATCCTGGTCTCCCATGGGGTGCAGGGCCCACGCACTTGGGCCATCCTCTACTGCACTCCCTGGGCACAGCAGAGAGCTAGCCTGGAAGAGGGGCAAGCAGGACAGAATCCGGCACCCAGACCGGGACTAGAACCCGGTGTGCCGGCGCCGCAAGGCAGAGGATTAGCCTATTGAGCCGTGGCGCCGGCTTCCATTAACTTTTTGAAGACCCCTTGTATGGATGACTTTCAAAAAACTTTTGATTAATATGTAATGCTTGTATGTTTTTATCGGGTGCAATACAGAAATTCAGTACGTGTATACAGCAAAAACTGACCAATTTAGGTAATTACATTTCCTTTTTTTTTTTTTTTTTAATTTTTGACAGGCAGAGTGGACAGTGAGAGAGAGAGACAGGTGAGAAAGGTCTTCCTTTGCCGTTGGTTCACCCTCCAATGGCCGCCGCTGCAGCCGGCGCACCGCGCTGATCCGATGGCAGGAGCCAGGATCCAGGTGCTTTTCCTGGTCTCCCATGGGGTGCAGGGCCCAAGCACCTGGGCCATCCTCCACTGCACTCCCTGGCCATAGCAGAGAGCTGGCCTGGAAGAGGGGCAACCGGGACAGAATCCGGCGCCCCAACCGGGACTAGAACCCGGTGTGCCGGCGCCGCAAGGTGGAGGATTAGCCTATTGAGCCACGGCGCCGGCTACATTTCCATTTTTTAAAAACATTTATTTATTTATTTGAAAGAGTTACACACAGAGAGGAGAGGCAGAGAGAGAGAGAGAGGTCTTCCATCCACTGGTTCACTCCCCAATTGGCCGCAAAAGCTGGAGCTGTGCTGACCCAAAGCCAGGAGCTTCTTCCAGGTCTCCCACATGTGTTCAGGGGCCCAAGGACTTAGGCCATCTTCAGCTTTCCCTGGCCATAGCAGAGAGAGAGCTGGATCAGAAGTGGAGTAGCCGGGACTCAAACCACTGCACGTATGGGATGCTGGCACTGTAGGTGGTGGTTTTTACCTGCTATGCCACAGCGCCAGCCCCAGCATTTCCATTTTCTTATCTTTTCTTTCTTTGGAGCCTAGCAGTCCCACTTTTCCAGGACTTCGTAGGGTATATAATATGTTAGTTTACGAGTGGGCATAGTGGCACAGTGGGTTAAGCCACCACTTGGTGGTGGTTAAACTCTCTGCTTTGCATATGGGAGTGCCTGGTTGGAGTCCGGGTTCCACTTGTGATCCAGCTCCCTGGTAATGTGCATCCTTGGAAGGCTCAGATGTTGGCTCAAGTATTTGGGTCCCTGCCACCCATGTGGGAGGCCTAGATGGAGTTTTCAGGCTCCTGGCTTCAGCCTGGCCCAGACCTGGCTGTTTTGGCCATTTGGGGAGTGGACTAGGTGATGGAGGATCTCCTCTCTTTCCTTTTCTCTCTGTCAGTCTGATCTGCGCTTCAAATAAATAAATAATACTAAAGGAAAAAATAAAGCCAATTAGTTACTTCATGAAATCAGAATTAAGAAATACATTATTGTGGGCTGGCACTGCGGCTCACTAGGCTAATCCTCCACCTGCGGCTCCGGCACCCTGGGTTCTAGTCCCGGTCGGAGCGCCGGATTCTGTCCCGGTCGCCCCTCTTCCAGGCCAGCTCTCTGCTGTGGCCCGGGAAGGCAGTGGAGAATGGCCCAAGTGCTTGGGCCCTGCACCCCATGGGAGACCAGGAAAAGCACCTGGCTCCTGGCTTCAGATCAGCGCGATGTGCCGGCTGCGGCGGCCATTGGAGGGTGAAGCAACGGCAAAAGGGAAGACCTTCCTCTCTCTCTCTCTCTCTCTCTCTCTCTCTCTTTCTTTCTCTCTCACTCTCACTCTCACTCTCTCACTGTCCACTCTGCCTGTCAGAAAGAAAGAAAGAAAGGAAGGAAGGAAAGAAGGAAGGAAGGAAGGAAGGAAGGAAGGAAGGAAGGAAGGAAGGAAGGAAGGAAGGAAGGAATACATTATTGTGAAGTGTAGTTCTCCCACTCAGATTTCTGTCACCAGATAGACTTATCTTTTTAATTCCCTTTTCCATGAACTTCTTGGAATCCTTTCATAGTCAAAGGAGACTATAGCTGCAGCTGTACTGTTTTAATTTTTAACAAGGCAATGTCTGTATGTCTTACCTATGACATTAAATATTCATTCGAACCAAGAGGGAGTGTGGTAGACATCTGGCTACTGGTGTTGTGTCCTGTGTTTATCTCCCTGCATGGGACCCAGAGCAACGGGGGCGGGGGGAGGTAGTTGTGTGGGCCCTTTCTCTCCTGGAGCCCCTCAGTGCAGAGACCCCCAGCTTCTCAACGGCTCTCATGTGGTCAGTGTTTCTCTGCCCCTGTTCTTTCCATCGATTCTGGAAGGTTCTTTTTGTTCCCAGAAGATATTTGTTGAGCATAGAGGCATTTTTGGCATTGAAGAATCTAAAAGTGATTAAGACACAGCCTCTCTCTGCACGGATAACTTATTAATTACAGATGGAAACTTAATTGCTATTGAAACAATGGAGAAACCGGATGAACACCTTTAGCAAGCAGTCAGAGTCCACGTCACCCACGCTGGATCCCTCCAGACAGGTGGCACTGTGGATGGGACTTCCCCTTATGGAACTGTGGCCCCAGAGCTTACTCACAAGGAAACGTCAGGGGAACCCAGACAGGAGACGTTCTCAGAACAGCTGGCTTGCACACTTCTCTTTTTTATTTTTTTTTAAGATTTATTTATTTGAAAGGCAGAGACAGAGAGAAAGAGTTCTTCCATCCACTGGTTTACTCCCCAGTTTGCTGTAAGGGCTAGAGCTGAGCCAGTCCGAAGCCAAGTGGATGCAGGTACCCTAAGACTTGGGCCATCTTCCTCTGCTTTCCCAGGCACATTAGCAGGAGCTGGATCGGAAGTGGAGTAGCTGGGACTCGAACCAGCACCCATATGGAATGCCAGCACTGCAGGTGGTGGCTTTACCCACTGACACAGGGCTAGCTTCTCTTATCTTTTTTGAAAAAAGTTTATTGGGGCTAGAGTTGTGGTGTAGTGCCTGCAACGCTGGCATCCCACGTGGGCACTGATTCAAGTCCCGGCTGCTCCACTTATGATCCAGGACCCTGTTAATAGTCCTGGGAAAGCAGTAGAAAGTGGCCTAAGTACTTGGGCCACTGCACCCGTATGGGAGAACCAGAAGAAGCTCCTGGCTCTTGGCTTTGGCCTGGTTTAGCCCCAGCTGTTACAGCCATTTGGGGACTGCAGCAGTGAATGGGAGATCTCTCTCTCTTCCCCTCTTTCTCTGTCTCCCCCTTTTTCTGTCTCTGGAACTTTGCCTTTGAAGTAAATAAATCTTTCAAAAACTAAATTTTTTTTTAAGTTTATTTGAAAGCCAGAGAGACAACAGATGGATAGACAGAGCTCTCTTATCTACTTCTTGGCTCCCCAAAGGCCCAAACTGCCCACATGGGCAACCCAGATGGAGTTCTGGGTTCCTGGCTTCAGCCTGGCTCGGTCCCAGCCATTGGAGTAATTTGGGGAGTGAACCAGCAGATGAAAGATCTTTCTCTCTGTCTCTCACTCCTTACATGTAAGTCTGCTTTTCTTTTTCTTTTGTTAAAGATTTATTTATTTATTTTGAAAGATAGATTTAGAAAGAAAGGGAGAGACCCAGAGAGAGATCTTCCCTAGGCTGGTTCACTGCCCAAGTGGCCACAACTGTTGGAGCTGTGCCGATTAGAAGCCAGCAGCCAGGAGCTTCTTTCAGGTCTCCCATGTGGGTGCAGGGACCCAAGGACTTGGGTTACTCTCTGCTGCTTTCCCAGGCCCATCAGCAGGGAGCTGGATTGGAAGTGGAGCAGTCAGGACTTGAACTGGCACCCCACCCATTTGGGATGTTAGCACTGTAGGCAGCGGCTTTACTTGCTACACCACAGCACTGGCCCCTCTGCTTTTCAAATAAATAAATATTAAACAAACAAAAAAAGATAAAGATAGCAACCTGTATTTGGATGGTGTATGAGGTCACAGTGTTGTGTAGTATCAAGGTTAAACTTTCTGTGCTTGGTAGCAATGAGAGAATGTCCCTGTTCTTTTTTTTTCTTATTATCTTTTCTGACAGGCAGAGTGGACAGTGAGAGAGAGAGACAGAGAGAAAGGTCTTCCTTTGCCGTTGGTTCACCCTCCAATGGCCGCCACAGCCGGCGCGCTGCGGCCGGCGCACCGCGCTGATCCGATGGCAGGAGCCAGGAGCCAGGTGCTTTTCCTGGTCTCCCATGGGGTGCAGGGCCCAAGCACCTGGGCCATCCTCCACTGCACTCCCGGGCCACAGCAGAGAGCTGGCCTGGAAGAGGGGCAACCGGGACAGAATCCAGCGCCCCAACCGGGACTAGAACCCGGTGTGCCGGCGCCGCAAGGCGGAGGATTAGCCTAGTGAGCCGCGGCGCCGGCCCCTTTGATTTTTTTTTAACCAAACTTACAAAACTGTTTCCATCTTTCTGCCCACATAAAATTAGGTGGCCAGATTATTTGGCCTCTTGGCTGTGGTTTACTGGTGTCTGATAGAGAAAATTCGTATGCACCTGCATGCACACACAGGCAAGGGAAAGACAGCAAGTGCGGCGTAATGAGAACGGTCGGTGAATCTAAGTGAGACGCCTATGGCAGTTGTTTGTATTTTTCTTACAATTCTTCTGCATTTGTGAAATTATTTTAGAATAAAAATAGATAAAGGGCATGATTTTTCTCTCTGGGGGGCTCAGAGATCACTTTACATCTCAGTTTCTGACTTAACTTTTGTATCCGGTGACCCCTGTGGCAGATGTGAGCATGTAGGCTCTGACCTCACTGTGTGACCACCCCACTGCTAGATACCTTTCTCAGTGGCCATGTTAAATATGTCTGTTGGATGGCGGGCATCGCGGCTCAATAGGCTAATCCTCCACCTAGCGGCGCCGGCACACCAAGTTCTAGTCCCGGTCGGGGTGCCGGATTCTGTCCTGGTTGCTCCTCTTCCAGTCCAGCTCTCTGCTGTGGCCCGGGAGTGCCGTGGAGGATGGCCCAGGTCCTTGGACCCTGCACCTGCATGGGAGACCAGGAGAAGCACCTGGCTCCTGCCTTCGGATCAGTGTGATGCACCAGCTGCAGCGCGCCGGCCGCAGCAGCCATTGGAGGGTGAACCAACGGCAAAGGAAGACCTTTCTCTCTCTCTCTCTCTCTCTGTCCACTCTGCCTGTAAAAAAAAAAAAAAAAGTGTCTTGGTGGGAGTGGTTTTGTGAGACAGCAGGTAAAGCTGCCAGCTATAATGCAGGCATCCTGTGTGGGTGCTGGTTTGTGTCCCAGCTGTTTTACTCCAATCCAGCTCTCTGCTAATGGTCTGAGAAAAGCATCAGAAGATGGCCAAAGTCCTTGGGCCTCTGCCACCCACATGGGAGACTGGGAAGAACCTCCTGGCTTCTGGCTCCTGGCTTCAGCCTGGCCCAGCCCTGGCTCTTGCAGCCATCTGGGGAGTGAATCAGCAGATGGAAGCTCTTTATTTCTCTCTGTAATTCTGACTTTCAAGTAAATCTTTTCCTTTTTTTTTTTGACAGGCAGAGTGGACAGTGAGAGAGAGAGAGAGAGAAAGGTCTTCCTTTGCCATTGGTTCACCCTCCAATGGCCGCCGCGGCTGGTGCACTGCGGCCGGCACACCGCGCTGATCCGATGGCAGGAGCCAGGTGCTTCTCCTGGTCTCCCATGGGGTGCGGGGCCCAAGTACATGGGCCATCCTCCACTGTACCCCCTGGCCACAGCAGAGAGCTGGCCTGGAAGAGGGGCAACTGGGACAGAATCCGGAGCCCTGACCAGGACTAGAACCCGGTGTGCTGGCGCCGCAAGGTGGAGGATTAGCCTAGTGAGCCGCGGCGCCGGCTTCCTTTTTTTTTTTAATATTTTTTTGAAAGGCAAAGTTACAGAGAGAAGGAGGGAGAACCAGAGAGAGAGAGATCGATCCATCTTCCAGCTCTGAGCCAGTAAGTTGCCAGAGGATTGGAGGAGACTGGCCTGGATAGGGAAAAACAGCCATTCCTCATCACGAGGGCTGGACCGTGTGGTCTTCCCTGAATGCAGTCCCCATTTTCTCAGCCACATCGTGATAGCTGTGTCCTTTTCTGTGTGCAACTGTGACCTCTGGTCTTGCCCCGGCCATGAGCAGTCCATGGAAAATAACCTGTTCATTCCCCCCACCCCACCCCATCCTGTGCTGGCTCCTGGGTCCCTCAGGAGACGCACAGGGTCTACAGGCAGAAGCTGGAGGAGCTGACCGCGCTGCAGACCTCGTGCAGCGGCTCCATCAACAGGCAGAAGAAGCGCCTCAAGGACCTCAAGCACACCCTCCAGAGGTAGGCGGGGCTGCGGCTCTGAGGCACAGAAGCCCAGCTCAAGGCCGGCTTGAGCAGACTGGGGATTTTCATGGGAAAAAACAGAAGTAGCTTCAGGCGTCCTTAGATCTAGGGGTCAGAGGGTGTTTCTAGGCATCTGTTTTTTTTCCTCTGAATTCCACGTTCCCATAGATTGTCTCTGCTGTCAGGCTGACCGCCCCCTGCTGGCCCCTGAGGTGACCACCAGCAGTGCTGGGCTCAGATCCTCCAGCCTTGCTTCCTACCTGATTGGCCGGCTAAGCAGAACGAGCAGAAGTTCTGGGCGTGGTCCTCATTGGGTGAGATTGGTCAGGTGTCTACTTGTGAACCAATCACTGAGACCACGTGGGCGGGACCATGTCCTGAGCCAACTGTGTGACCTTGCAGGGCGGGGCAGCTCCTGGCGGGAAGAGGATGAGAGCAAGTTTTCCAGGTGTGAGGTTGGTCAGGTGCTGTTTTCAGAAGTCTTGCTGGCCAGTAAACAATAGGTGTCCTTAGGGATGTGAGGGGCCCTCCCAGACAGGAACACCTGGTGCAGACAGACTTGAGCTTGTGACTTAGTTCCGTTCCTGAGCCCAGATCACGTTTGCTTCCCCTGCCTCTGGTCTTCATGGTCTGGGAAACTGCCTCATCCCCTTGTAGGTGAAGGGGTCCCGGGGTGCTGTGACCCGCCCCGGGCAGGCAGGCAGTGCAGGCCTCTAAGCTGGGCCTCGCTTCCAGCCAACTCTTCCCTCTCTCGTGGGCAGTTTATGGGAGAGATGTTGTTCCCCAGCCTTGGCTGCCCGTTAGGCCCATTATCATGGGCTGGAGAGTGTGGATGGCTCCACATGGAGACGGCACCGCTCTTGAAAAACAATACATCTTCCTGTGCCTCCTGGCCTAGGGCATTTCGTCCTCTGCACTGTTGCTAACTCTGTGGGTGGGGTGTGGACTTGGGTATTGTGGGATGTTTTCCCATGGCCCTGGCCTCTGCTAGCAGAACCCCCGCCCTGCGTGGTAACCAGGATGTCTCTAGACACCACCCCATGGCCCCAGTAGAGAAGCACCTAGATCCAAGGTTGGCCTGAGAGTTAGGGGCTTAGACAAAGGACCCCTCCCATTCTGGGGTCCTGTGTCTCATGCCAGGTTTTTCCGGTATTAAGTTAGTGTCACCAGCGAATAGCGGTCAGACCTCAGTCACTGAGTGCTTATACTTGCAGGTGCCTCTTGTCCTGTCAGTAATTCTCAGGTTATTCTCTTTGTGGAGTGAGAAGGAAGGCAGTTGAGCCAGTTGGTATCGTTTGTCCATGCGGTGTGCATACAGTATCATTCCAGGTGCTTGACGCTGTGTCCACCCCTTCATCCCTGCACTGGGATCATCTGTGAGCTGGGCCCACATTATGGCCGGTTTTCAGGCTTGGGAGATAGGGCAGAGAGGTTCAAGAGCTTGCCCGAGACCACAAGCCTGCCAGGGAGCCAGCATCACACCCTGAGGGGATGGATGGGGAGGCTGCTGGAGGGTGGGAGAGCGGTGCCCAGGGCGTCTGGATCCCTCCTCCCTCTGAGCGATGCCCTGCCCCCACACCCACTCCTCTCACCCAGGTACAAGCGCCATGCCAGTCGGGAGGAGGCGGAGCTGATCCAGCAGATGAGCGCCAACATCAAGGAGAGGCAGAACGTCTTCTTCGACATGGAGGCCTACCTGCCCAAGAAGAACGGGTGAGACCTGGAGCCCCGGCTCTCCCAGCTCCCTGTGGGGGCTCCAAGTTGGGCGGTGCAGGAAGGAGAGGGTGACTTCCCCTGAGCCCAGGAGGGGGCCGCATTCCCTGCCTGTGGCAGAGATATTTCTGGGAGGGCATGTGAGGAACCAGCACCCCCCACAGGCATGATGTCCTTTTCCAATGGAATGAGCACATATCAAGTGACTACTGCATGCCCCGCATTGTGCTGGGAGTCCCTTGGTGTCAGCCGTTCTATCAACAGCTGCATGCGTCAGGTTCAGAGACACGACGAAATCCTGGCCAAGGTGGCTTAGCCCAGAACTGACCAAGCTCTGCCTCCGCAGCCGGTGCCTGTCTTGTCTTCTCCATTCAGGGAAATCCCCACCTGCCACTGCCACTCTCACTGCTCCAGAGAGAGTTCCTCCTGTGTCATATCGGGACCTGCCTGGGGCTGCTAAGCGTCCCATCCCTTCCCCAACCCCATTTCCTCGTCTGGCCTGGCATGGGTCTGAGCCTATACCAGGAGTGAACTCCCTTTAGCCTGCAGTGGGGCGGGGCAGCCTACCAGCCCTGGTGTTTTTTTGTTGTTGTTGTTTTGTTTTGTTTTTAGAGTTTATTTATTTATTTGAGAGGTAGAGTTACAGACAGAGGGAGAGACAAAGAATGATCTTCCATCTGTTGGTTCACTCCCTAGATGGCCACAATGGCCGGAGCTGGACTGATCTGAAGTCAGGAGCCAGGGGCTTCTTCTAGATCTCCCACATGGGTGCAGGGGCCCAAGGACTTGGACCATCTTCTACTGCCTTCCCAGGCCATAGCAGAGAGTTGGATTGGAAGAGGAGCAGCTGGGAATAGAACCAGCACCCATATGGGATGCCGGCACCGCAGGCAGAAGCTTAGCTCACCCTGCCACTGCACAGGCCCAGCCCTGTTGTATGTTGACCCATTCTTTTCTGCCGTGTTTGGTTAGCAAGGCCCTAGGTTGGGTGGTGATAGTCTTCTACAGGGCAGAGCAGCAGTGCGGCACTCATGGCTCTCCTTACTCCCTCCCTGCGCCTCTCCGCCATTCCTTTGTACGTCTTTCCTCTGTCAGCAAACTGTGGATTACAAGTGATAGGAAAACCAACTCAAAGTTGCTTAAGAACAAACAGGAGACTTACTGGCTGACACAATTGAAAACTCAGCTGCAGCTTCAGGTGGGCTGGGTCCTGTGTTCAGTTGATGCTGTTTGGACCTCTCAGCGTTCTTTTTACTCTCTTTGCCAGTGGGTGCCTTTCATTCTTGGACACACGTTCTCTGTCATGTGAGCCCCATGCTTCTGGGCTTGCATCCCACCTGCTAAGCAATTCTAGTACAAAAAGTTCAGTTCCCCAGGAGTTCCAGGAAAAGTCCCAGGGCTGACTCTCACCGGTCCAGACAGCATCATGTGACCATCCTTATCCTAATCAGAGGTGCTGCTCTGGTTGTTTGGGTCATGTGCTTTTTCCTTTAGCCACAGGGAGAAGAGAGATGCTCTGAAAGGAAGTTGCACTGCCCTCTGGGGAGGTGGGGACGGTATGGCAGGTGGGAAGAAAATACATATCCTGTGCACACGCCCACAGCAGTCACACCAGACGGGAAGCGCCCACGGGGCCACACGTAGCTCTCTGCTTTCTGCTCTCAGACTCCTGCTCGCCCTTCACAGTGCAGCTGAGGGAGACCTTGTCATGTCCCCTTCTGTCCGTGGGCTTGTATGCCGTGTCTGCACCTTTGCTGATGCAGTGGAGTCCAGGTTCCTCCAACACAGGTCCAAGCGTGTTTGGGAGAGCTTCATCCTTCCCAGACATCATGGGCCCGAGAGGAGTGGGCCAGGAGGGGTGGGCTTGAGAGGTCGTCCTGGGGCTCATGGCCCTTCCGTCTGACCGCCCCATGCCCCTCTGTGAGTTGTCTCATCTGGATGAAACTGACTTCTACCCCACGTTCTCAGGAAGGGTAAAGAGAGCCAGGGGTACCCACCAAGTCTCCCCTCACCCCCCGTTTAAAAAGGAGATTTATTTATTTATTTGTAAGGCAGAATGACAAAGAGAGGTAGATTTTCCATCTATTAGTTCACTCTTCAAATAGCTGAAAAAACCAGGGCCAAGCCAGACCAAAACAGGGAACCTGGAACTCCACAGGGGTCTCCCATGTGGGTGTCAGGAACCAAAGGCCTTGGGCCATCATCTGTTGCTTCCCGTATGCCTTAATGGGGGGCCGGATTGGAAGCAGAACAGCCGAGACTCGAACTGGTGCTCTGAGGTGGGATGCTGATGTCACAAATGGCAGCTTAACCTGCTGTGCCAGACTCCCTGCCCCAAGCAAATTCTTTTTCGCAAAAACTGCCATTTCCTGGGGAAGCTGACACACACACTGCCTACTCAGAAACTCGACTCCTGGGTGCATGCCCAAAGGCAACGTGTGCTTTTGTCCTGCCATTCACAGCGGAGAAAACAGGCCCAGGAGGCCATGTAATGTATGATTCTGTTTATGTGAATTGCCCAGAGAGACAAATCCATAGAGACAGATTGTGGTTGCCAGGGGCTGGGGGGAAGGGAGGGAGAACACGGAGTCATTATTGCTGGGTTGCCTGTTTCTTTGTGGGGGATGGGAATGTTCTGGAATTAGATCACGGTGATGGTTGCACAACACTGTAAATGTAAAAATCATTAAATTGTGTACTTTAAAAGGACAGATTTTATGGTGTGTAAATTGTATCTGACTTAAAAAAAAAAAAAAAAAAGAATGCTCTTAGCTGAGTAAATACTGAAGCACATGAGTGCTGAACGACCTCATGAGAAGCGAGCCAGGCAGACGCGGGAAGAGGACTGCGTGGCCTTGCTTGTGTGCGAGATCAGAGCGGGAACGAGATTCAGAGGAGCAGTGCACTGCTGGCTGCCGAGGACGGGGCACAGGGGAAGCTGGGAGGTGGCGGTCACGGGGCAGAGTTGCGCTGTGTAGCCTACGTTGAGAGATGTAGCAGATAAAGTGAGGACCCCAGTTCATCAGACTGTGGGACACGCAGGGCTTCAGAAAGCTCTTGGCAAATGATCATAACGGGGTCTTCATGCATGTCGTGAAAACGCTATGCGTGGAGAGCAGTGCTGTGGCTTAGTGGGTGAGGCCGCAGCCTGCAGTGCCGGTGTCCCATATGGGCGCCAGTTCGAGTCCCTGCTGCTCCACTTCCAATCCAGCTCTCTGCTATGACCTGGGAAAGTAGTAGAAGATGGCTCAGGTCCTTGGGCCTCTGCACCCATGAGGGAGACCTGGAAGAAGCTCCTGGCTCCTGGCTTTGGATTGGCTCAGCTCTGGCTGTTGTGGCCACTTGGGAGTGAATGAATGGGTGGAAGAGCTTTCTCTCTCTCTCTCTGCCTCCGCCTCTGCCTTTGCCTCCCTGTAACTCTGCCTTTCAAATAAATAAATATTTTTTTTTAAAAAAGCTATGCATAGATTTCAATTTTTTTGTATCAAAATAAACATTTTTTAAAAAAATAAGGTAGCAAAGTTTATTATTTATTTGAAAGAGAATAAAAGAGAGGGAAGCATGAGAGAGAGGGAGAGAGAGTCATCTGCTGTTCACTTCTAAATGCCTGCCACCGCCAGGACTGGGGGAGGTTGAACTCAAAAGCCAGGAACCCCAGATGTCCCCTGCAGGTGACAGGGGCCCAGGAGCGTGGCTGTCATCTGCTGCCTCCCAAGTGCGTTAGCAGGGGACTGGGCTGGAAATGTGGTGGAGCTGTGACTCCATCCTGGGCACTCTGATATGGGATATGGGCATCCCAAGTGGCTGCTTTACCCACTGTGCCACATACCTGCCCTCAAACAATTCCATTTTCCCCAAACTTTTGAAAGTATACCTAAGGGCTGGCGCCGTGGCTCACTAGGCTAATCCTTCATCTGCAGTGTCGGCACCCCGGGGTTCTAGTCCCGGTTGGGGCACCAGATTCTGTCCCGGGTGCTCCTCTTCCAGGCCAGCTCTCTGCTGTGGCCCGGGAAGGCAGTGGAGGATGGCCCAGGTCCTTGGGCCCTGCACCTGCATGGGAGACCAGGAGGAAGCACCTGGCTCCTGGCTTCGGATCAGTGTAGTGTGCCGGCCGCAACGCATGGGCCGTAGCAGCCACTTGGGGGTTGAACCAATGGAAAAAGGAAGACCTTTCTGCCTCTCTCTCTCTCTCTCTCACTGTCTAACTCTGCCTGTCAAAATAATAATAATAATAAAGAAAGAAAGAAAACAAGGACTGTGGGTGCACATTTGGTTCAGTGGTTAAGATGCCATTGGGATGCCTACGTCCCATGTGGAAGTATCTGGGTTTGAGTCCCAGTTCCACTCCTGATTCCAGCACACCCTGGGAGGTAGCAATGTCTCAAGTACCTGGGTCCTTGCCACCCACATGGGAGACTCAGATTGAGTTTCTTTTCTTTTCTTTTCTTTTTTTTTTTTTTTTTTTTTTTTTTGACAGAGTGGACAGTGAGAGAGACAGAGAGAAAGGTCTTCCTTTGCCGTTGGTTCACCCTCCAATGGCCGCCGCGGCCGGCGCACCGCGCTGATCCGATGGCAGGAGCCAGGAGCCAGGTGCTTTTCCAGGTCTCCCATGGGGTGCAGGGCCCAAGCACCTGGGCCATCCTCCACTGCACTCCCTGGCCACAGCAGAGAGCTGGCCTGGAAGAGGGGCAACCGGGACAGAATCCGGTGCCCCGACCGGGACTAGAACCCGGTGTGCCGGCACCGCTAGGCGGAGGATTAGCCTAGTGAGCTGCGGCACCGGCTCAGATTGAGTTTCTGGCTCCTAGCTTAGACATGGCCCAGCCTTGGCTACTTGTAGGTATTTGGAAAACAAAATAGGACAGAAGTGCACACACACACACACACATACACACACTCCCTTTCAAATAAACAAAAAAATAAAAACGCCACTAGAAACAAAAGCTAAAAGTAAGTCAAATGTTCATCAACAGAAGGAATAACTAAGTTGTGGTCTCTCCCTTCGATGAAATATCATACATCGTGAGAGAGGGGCTGCTGATGAACACGCGCCATGGGTGAATGTTGTAGATGTACTCTTGAGGGAAGAGAGCCAAGCGTGAGATCACACACTGTGTACATTTATGTAAAGTTCAGTAATAGGCAAAATGGGAGCCAGTGTTGCACAGCAGGTTAAGCCTGCCGCCTGCAAGGACAGCATTCCACATTGGGGTGCCAGTTTGAGTCTCAGCTACTCCGCTTCCAGTCCAGCTCCTGGTTGGTGCACCTGGGAAGGCAACAGAAGATTGCCCAAGTACGTGGACCCCTGCTACCCACATGGGCAACAAGGATGGAGTTTCTGGCTCTTGGCTTTGGCCTGTGACAGCCCTGGCTATTGTAGCCATTTGGGGGCATAAACCAGCAGGAGGAAGGTGGATCTTTTCTGTCTCTCTGCCTTTCAAATAAATAAATAAATCTTCCCCCCAAAATAAGCAGAATGTATCCATAGTGATAGAATATGTGACTGTTACCTTTGGATGCTGCTGGCTTGGGGAGGGGCATGTGGGAGCCCCCTGGGGCTGGGAAAGTTTTATTCTTTGATTTAGAGGTTGGGTAACAGTGTAAATGTGTGAACATTCTTTTTTTTTTTTTTTTTCTTATTTATTTGAGAGGTGGAGGTGCAAACAATGGAGGGAGAGACAGAGAAAGGTCTTCCTTCCATTGGTTCACCCCCAAAATGGCCGCTACGGCCTGTGCGTTGTGGCCAGCATGCTACGCCAATCCGAAGCCAGGAGCCAGGTGCTTCTCCTGGTCTCCCACATGCGTGCAGGGCCCAAGGACTTGGGCCATCCTCCACTGCCTTCCTGGGCCACAGCAGAAAGCTGGACTGGAAGAGGAGCAACTGGGACTAGAACCCGGTACCCATATGGGGTTCCGGTGCCACAGGCGGAGAATTAGCCAAGTGAGCCATGGTGCAAGCCCCCCCCCCCTTTTTTTAAGAATTATTTATTGGAAAGAGGGGAAGAGACCGAGATCGTCCATCCCTGGTTCATTTCCCAAATGGCCAAAACGACCAGGACTGGTTCAGGCTGAAGCTAGGAGCCTGGAATTCTATTCGGGTCTCCCACCTGGGTGACAGGGGCCCAAGCACTTGGGCCATCTCTCAGTGCTTTCCCAGGCCATTAGCAGGGAGCTGGATAGGAAGTGGAACAGCCGGAACTTGAACCGCGGCCTTTGTATGGGACACTGGCATTGTGGGTGGAGGCTGGCCCCTAAAAATTCATGTTTTACACTTCCGGTGTGTGCATTTGTGAATGTTCTACCTTAATTTTAAAGAGAAGCCTGTTTAAATTGACCTAGAGGCTGTACCACTAGCTTCCCATCACTCACATGCTCCCATCTGGCTGCAATGCAGGCTGGGGGTTATAGCCTCCAGGCGTCCTGTGTCACAGTTACCACGTTCTGTGGCTGCTGGTGGCTGTCCCTTGATGTGGGCCCACAGTTGGCCTAGCTCTGCGTTCTTGCTCCAGTGCTCAGTGTGTGCTTGTGAAGTTTGTAGAGTTCCCGGTCAATGCCCACCGCTCACTGGTTTCTCCTTCCAGGCTCTACTTGAATCTGGTCCTTGGAAATGTGAACGTGACCCTTCTCAGCAACCAGGCCAAGTACGTGTGCCCACACCCAGGCCCCCTGCTCTTCCCGCTCTGGGAAGCTGGACCCAAGCTCGACGTTTTGGTTGACAGTCAGGGCTTTGGTTTTCCTGACCCTGTCATTGCAGTGTGTAGACCATATTGGGGGTGATCTTTCCGTCTTTCCCAGAATCAGTGTGTGGTGGGTAGAACCCCCAATCCCACCCCTTCTCACACACATTTCTCAAGGGAAATGAGCATCCTGTCCACCTTCACTGCCCACTTCCAGGTAAAAGCGAACTTTGCCATTGCGGCTGCTGTAGTTGATTGAGGGGGGAGACCCTGTCTGTGGTCCCTGTGTGTCCCCAGCAGAGCTCAGAGTCCTAAGCCAGGAGCCCAGGGATGTGGGGAGCTTGTATAGTGATCCCCCATTCCCTTAGTGGGCCTCACTAGTTCAGGGCCAGGCTGACCTTGAGCAGGGTAGAATGGACCCCACAGGGTGTGGGAGTATCTGCAGGTAAAGGCTCTCGTGGGGCTGAGGGTCCCTCCCCCAGACAGGAGCAGTAACCATCTGTGGCCTTTTCCTGGGGTGGGTGTGCCATGGCAGGTTTGCCTACAAGGACGAGTATGAGAAGTTCAAGCTCTACCTGACCATCATCCTGCTCCTGGGCGCAGTGGCCTGCCGGTTTGTCCTGCACTACAGGTAATGGAGGGTGTTGTGTGCTACGGGAACGCAGGGTGCCCGGAGGGCGCCAGCAGAGAGGGATCTGGGGGCTCCAGGGGCCTTTGTGATGGTGGAGAAGGAACATTTCTAATAGGAAACAGTGGTCCTGTCCCCCTACAGCCACCTGGCAAACACCCACCCAGCAGCCGCTGGGAGGGCCTCCCAGTATTTAAGGAGAGGGCAGTGTGGTCCATCCAGGCAGTAGAATGTTATTTAGCCATAAAAAAAAAAAAAAAAGGAGCAGTGACACCTGCCACGATGTGGATGGGCCTTGAAGGCAGGATACTGAGTGAAAGAAGCCAGACGCAGACAGCCACGCCCTGTTGGAGTCCATCTGTTCGAAGCGTTCAGAACAGGCAGATCCACGGGGACCGAGTCGTTCAGTGGTTGCCAGGAGCCTGGAAGAGGAAGGCAGTGACTGCTCGTGGAGGGTTTCGTTGCAGACTGATGGAAGTGTTCTGGAATTGGGTCATGGTGCTAGTTGCACAAGTCCATGGGTGTGTTACAAACCACTGAATCCTGTGCTTTAAAAGGACGCATTTCATGGCATGTGAACTGTATTTCACCAAAAAAGAAGGGAAACACCAGCTCAGTCCACCTGGGTTTAAATCCTGGCTTTGATCCTAACTGGTGGTTCCCCAGGCAGGTTCTAGCTGGGAGCTTCCGTCTCCCCATTAGTAGGAGTGGGGCGACAGCAGTGGTCCTGGCACAGTTCGTGGAACTTGCCCTGTGTGTGGCCCACTGCAATGCCTTTGAGAGTTGGCCACTTCTTGGGGCAGGATGAGGCCATGATGGGCCCTGGGTTTTCTGCCTCTGTGGGGAGGCAGCCGGGTACAGCGTGGGCATGTGGCCCACATGTCAAGGGTTTATTTCCTGGCAGGCGCGTGGCTGGGAGTCTGGCCACTGGTCTGGCAAACCAGGGCTCTCGCAGGCCCTGGGGCCTGGCGTGGTTCCACTGGGGCAGAGGCTGCCCATGGCAGCAGTGCCTGCTCACAGGCCCCCTCAAGGGGGTTAAAGTTCTCGATGGACACCTGAAGTCCCTCTCACTGGGGCTGCTGGACCAGAGGGCAGGCCTGTGGTGGGAGGTCAAATTCTGGGCCTCAGCAGGGTCTGGGTATTTCCCTTTCTCTCCCACCCCTTCCGTGTTAGTCTCTGAGGGTTGCCGAAGCAGTGCCTTGATCTGGGGGGCTTCAGGCGACAGAGGTGGGTCTGCTTACCGTCCTGGAGGCCGGAAGGCTGTGGTCAGGGTCTGGGCAGGGGCCTCAGGCCCTCCTGTCTCCTCCGGTTCAGAGTGTTGCTGGCAGCTCTGGCTGTTGAATTCCTTGAAGCTGTTTCACTCTGGTCTCTGCCCCTGGTCATGTGCTGCTTGCCCTGTGCGTCTCATGCATGGCCTTGTTAGGAGGGCACCAGGCATCGTCCACCCTCTCCCAGGATGACCTCCTCATAACTAATCACGTTTACAAACACCATATTTTCAAGTAGGCCACACTCTGAAGTCCCAGGGGACGAGAGTGTCTGGGTGAAGCTAGAGGGATGCAGGGCCAAGGAAGGCAGGGGGCCTCTCTCCAGAGGCTGCATCGGGCAGGAAACAGATTCACCCCCAAGCCAACAGCCTGGGTTTAGCCTATAAGAGCCCAGCTCCTGACCTGCAAAACTGTAACAGGATGAATGTGAGTGGCTTTGAGCCACCATGGCTGTGGTCTTTCGTTATGGCAGCTGCAGGAGGCCAGGACTCCTACCCTGTCTTCACCAGAAAGATGCAGGAAGGGAATGACAGAAAATACCATGGGCTCACGGCTCGCTGCTGGGCCTCCCCTGGAGGGTTCTAGAGTTTGCTCCACTGAGTGACCCTCCCTCCCCTGGCTTCCTGTTTGAGTGCAGAGAACCTCAGTGGTCAGTTTCTGGGACTCATTTCTCAGAACGCAGACACCATGGTGCTCCCAGCTTACAAAAGGGACGCTGGGCTGGACAGTGCTCTAGCCCTGCCCCATGCACTGTGTATCGAGCTCAGCTCATGCTCACTGGCACTGTGCGGGAGGGGCGGGGCCCCACTTCGCAGAGGATGAGTCACTTGTCCGTGGCCCCACAGCCGGGGAGAGGAAGAGAGCATGGATTGGACTCCACAGGCCCTGGATTCCAGACTGTTCCTGGCTCTCCAAGGCACTTGCAGGCAGTGGCCCAGCAGGGTGGCCTGAGTCTGTCCTCTGCCACCACAGACAGCATCCACAGCTCAGAGATGTCTCCCAGCATCTTCTGTCGCTGTTGAAATTGCAGCTTCCCACCGTTTGCCTCCAGCGCCGTTCTGGTTGGCTGGTTAGAGGCCTCATCCAAGAGGCTGGCAGAGCTTTGGAGGGGCTGTCAGTCACCAGTCACCAGTGCCCACCAGCAAGGATCCCTTGAGTCAGGGTGAGCCTTCTCACTTCACAGATGGCAAGGCTGAGGCCAGTGGCCCCCATCAAAGGGGCAGAGGAGTTTTCCAGTTAGCTCTACAACTGCGGTCGGGAGAATGTTTTTGTCTGTGTTACACCGCTGGCTTCAGGAGCCACACTGCAAAGTGTCCCTTCTCTGAGCCCTTTTGTCACTGTCCTGCCAGGAGTTTCACATGAGACAGGGAGGACGTAGAAGAGAGACAGATTGCTGTAGGCTGAGTGGCCAGGGAAGGGGAGCACACTTAAGCACAGTTGGGGTTCAGGTGCAAAGTCAGGGGGTTTGGGCATTTTAGGCTGAGGACAGACCCCCAGGAGGCCAGACTCCCTCTGCACTGCCAGGGTGTCAGTCTGCTATGCTGTTCTGTGGAGTGGGAGGGGCCGGCCATCTCCATGTCTCATACCTGCTGCTTCCACTGGGGCTGTTTCTTCCCACCAGGGTGACGGATGAAGTGTTCAACTTCCTACTGGTGTGGTACTACTGCACCCTCACCATCCGGGAGAGCATCCTCATCAGCAATGGCTCCAGGTAACCGGGGGCCTGGCTTTGTGGGTGTCTGTGGAGCCACGGGGATGCCTGGCACTGGTGGGCGTCAGACCAGGGAGAGGGACCGTGCGGCTGATGCTGCGTCACCCATTTGGTTAGCTCATATAACATAGCAGGAACTCTGTTCTCTATAAGAACAGGCCTTTTGTGGCTGACTTCAAGTAAGGCTTAATCCAGGGGCTCAGACGACATCATCAGGAGCCACCCAGTTTTCCCCCATCCCTCACCTCTGCCTTCCACCTGACATCCTTGTTCCCAGGCCCCATGTAGGGTCACCCAACAGTTCCAGGCTCATGTCATTATTTCTGGTATTCCCACCAAGCAGTCTTACTTGAGTCTGCTGGCTGGGTGCAGGTACTGAACCAATCACTGTCGCTAGAGAAGGCACTTCTGGGATTGGCCAGGCTCGAGCCTCCCACCCACCCCCATGGCTGTCTTTCACAGCCTGGAAGCCGAGGGGCAGGAGGGAGTGGCTCCCAGAGGCACACTGGATGTTGCCAGAGGGTGAGTGGGTTTGGGTGGCAAGAGCCTGGGTGTCCTGCAGGAGAGTGGACCACTGAGACAGCTCTCGGGTCAAACCTGCCCTCCAAGAGATG